GCACATTATAAGATGAAAAATTTAAGGGAATTTGGTGAATTGCAGTGTCTAGATTAGAGTTAAACTTATTCCACTTAAACAGAGTACTTTCAAGGGTGGAACCGGCATACCATTCGGAAAGAACTTCCAAAACGCTTTCGAATAGTTTGGAGTTCTTTTCGAACACCTTCGTTTTGATGAGCGTGGAGTATCAGAATGGAATTTTAATGAATTATTAGCAACTATAAAACAATATTCATTGATAAAAACAGTTAACATTCAACCGAATCACAGTGAAATCGACAATATTTGGGAGAGAACTTTCGCCGGATGTAATTCAAGACAAAATTAAGAAGATCTTAGGTGAAAAGAAGGATTTATGCGTTACTTTTCATTGTCGGGAAAAATTATCCTGTCATATACATTTCCTGTCTCGAACTTAATTGTGCGACGGCTTTTCCATTTTACTAGGAGACGTTCACCAGGGAAACGCAACGACGCGTTAGCATAACATGTGAATGCATGGTACTGAAAAACTTTTCTTACTGAGTTATAAATAGATTGTTTCCTAGAGAACGTACTTGAACCAAGTATTTCGTGTGCGTAATGAAGCCGGTACGTGCCTTTTTTTCAAGTAGTAAATTTACTTGCAAGTACTTGTCCTTACTTGCCAAGTATTTTCGGAAAGTACTTCTTAGCAATAAGACAAGTATTTCGATCATTGACAAGTACTTGCATCAAGTATGTTCTCTAGAGTTCACTTTGCTTTCGAAAACCTATACACTTCTATTAGAATTGAAAACATATTTTTCTTTTTCATTTTAAATGACCATATCTGCCAAGTCGGACCATTAATTGTTTGACCCCGTGATAGATCTTTTTGAAATTACATACACCGATGTTTAAATCTTCAGCCAGTTTTAATCGACTGAATTCTAAACGGTGTGTGTAGTAGTTGTGTACTAGTAGTAGTATCAGTTTATTGCTATAATTCTGCATCTTTTTTTAAACTTGTTTCTTATTTATTTAACGCCAACTAAAAAAAAAAAGTACAAAGCCAAGACGAGCAGGCAAATCGAAATAAAATCATTATATGCCTGAATCTATTCAACAAAATGAGACATCAATAAAAAGATAAGAATAAGAACAGCAGAAATAAGGGACCGAGTTATATGAATTTTGGATTTAATAAAATCTAGATGTACCGACAAAGAAAATTTATTGGCATCAAAAAAGATGTCTTGATTTTTGAACTTTGAAGCAGGAGCTATCTGATGGTTGATCCACCCTGGACAAGATATGTTTTTGTTTTTGAGTTCTTTCCCAAAACCAACACTGCCACTTGATCCAGCGTGGTCGATTACGCAGGTTTCCATACGATTCCAAGGCTAGGATAAATCACCAGGTACCAGTCCTCGGGCTTCAAGGAAATTCAATAACACAATTGAACCACTGAAAATCAATGTTTCACTCGACTTCCATTTTGAACCAAACATTTCGAGCTATCTATCTAACATATGAATGTCACAACGCATAATTTTTAAAGGACTACATGTGTACTATGGTTTCTCGGCTACGCAAGATACCATCAATTTACTTCCTCGAAATATACAGAACGCTATCGGCAGACATTAGTGAATATGGAAATTGACTGAACCTGCCTAACAAATATGTACGGCAATGTAAAAAAATTCGCTCATTTTTGTTAGTTTCACTTGTAAAACATAGCATTTTTTTAATTAAATAAGGTTATTTGCTGAAAATAAAAGATTGAGTTTGTTAGTGTTTAACTTTTGTCCTAGTGATTTTCCACTTCGTAAAAAGTAGTATACCTATACAAAGAAGTACTCGGCAACCATGCAAATCTCTTTCTTTTACCTTAAAAACGTGTTCTGAACAATTTTGAAATGAAATCAAGTGAAAAAAGATGAAAAAAACGTTTTTTAAAAATTCGAAAAATACATACTTTTTTCATTAAAGTGACTGTGTTACTTAAAGTCGCCAGAATTTCGATTTCGTTAAAAGCCTATTTTGTTGCTCGAGGTGTGAGGATGTTTTTTGGAAAAAATCTTATTGAAACACCTTAACCCTAGTGAACACCAGCCAAATTATTTGATATAGGTTTTTGGTCAAAATTCGACCACTTCGAAAAAGTTAGCTGCCGTTCCTTCAAGAGTGAAGTTGGCCTAACTATCCTATAGTGATTCGGAAAGAGCATCGAAAACTGCATACGGTGATATGTGAACGAGCCTTAGATAACATTTCTAGAAGAAGTTTAAACAATCATAACTTTGACTATTAGGAAATGACAAGAAAAAGTTTTCATCCCACGTTTTTGTGAAGAAGGAGTTTGAAAATTTTTTTGACAATATAGAAAAATTTGTCTTTCACTACTCTACAAAATCCTAAAATGCGAGATCAAACAGAGCAACTTTTCGTAACCGGCGGGGTCCTTTCAATTTCAGGCTCATTAATTTTTGTATTTTTGCATAGAGTTATTGGTCAAACATTATGTGAGTATTTGCTTCCCCTACATGTAACCCTCGTTGAATATAAGAAAATGGATATAGTTTTGTCAACTCACTCAGATCCTGAATGATTTATACATAGTACAATGCAGAATTGAAATGGCTACACAATGCGCTATAACACATTGTTTTAAAAGTTTGCCTTCATAGATATATTGGACAAATACTTGACGGGTATCTCGATTTTATCCGTAGTGGCAAACAAAAATGATTATATTTTCGTCTAGAAAAATAGCCTTTTTTCCTCGTGCAAGTGGTGTTTTGCAGCATGCGAGAAAAACATCTGCAACACCGAAACAAAATATCATGTGAAGTTTCTAAACAAATGTTTGAAAAGTGCAGAAACTGTCGATTCAAAAACTCACGTTTTGATTTGAAAATAGGTTTCTCCAGATAAAGAAATATGAGTTCTAAGTTGTACCAATACTTTCGCAACATCGGTTAGTCAATAAAAGGTATAATCTGTGTGAAAAAACGGATCAACAACATTAAAGAGAAGTAAAACAGAATATCTCCCTCGATCATATGTAGGCATGCACCAATACAATATACTGGGTCTCAATAGTATTGGTTACCTAATCTATTAGGACCAATAATATCGGTTATCCAGTCTATTGTGACCAATAATTATTGAGTTTTCACAATATTATTGGGTATTGGGTCACTTGAGTTCGGCCTACTTTTACAGTACAAAGGCATGCTTTACACCCAATTGGGTATGCACCGATTGATCATCAATATTAGAGCAGTCAGCAAAGTCGTTCCAAATCAGTTATGAAAAAGCTCTCAGAGCTACCGAACGCCTCATTTTATAGGAAAATGTTTTCTCTACCCATTAGAAAATTTGGTGTTTGCTCCACGCTGAACCAAATTGTATAAAAATTGAGCGCCAGATGCAAAATTTGTTGGTGAATCCGACAGCGGGTTCCTTATAATTACATCTTCACTTCTTTTTTGGCGTCGACATAATCAACGTGCTTTTTGCCTAAATTTTATTTTTCTCGTTGGTTGAAAAAAGGCGCCAATGAGAAAAATAAAATTTAGGTGAAAGCCACGTTGATTATGTCGACGCCAAAAAAAGAAGTGAAGATGTAATTATAAGGAACCCACTGTCGGATTCACCGACAAATTTTGCATTTGGTGCCCGATTGTTAATCGGTGCATGCCTAATCCCGATCGGGATATGCTTCCTCACGTTTTTATGAAGGTAAATGATATTAAGGTTAAAAAATTGGAATCCGTTGTATTGTGGAACCCAATATTATTGTGCAATATTATTGAGTGACCAATATTATTGGTCCCAATAGATTGGGTATACAATAATATCGGCACCCAATATTATTGGATAGCCAATAAGATTGTACAATATCTTTAGTAACGATTGGTATTGATGCATGCCTAATCATATGTTCTCTTTTTTTATGCGACCAAAATGTCGTGCGACAAAAAGAATGCAACGAATCGTCCACAATGTAGTGACCGGCCATCCACGAGGCGATTGCGGTACAGCTCAACACATTTGCACGTACCAAGTTTAATACGACGGAAATGCGAATGCGTGGGCAATGTTGTCTTGTTGTAACGAGAGAAACATTTATCTGTCCCTAGATGCATCGAGCACCAAATTGACGTTTCGGCGCTCAGCGCTAAATTTAAAGCGCTTGAAAAGACTTGTGATTCAGCAAGTTGTATTCAACAAGTTGAGTATGTGTATTTATTATAATCATCTGTATTATGAATTTGTATTAAACCATAACAATATAAGAATAATTTTTTGAATGGATCTTCTCGTCTCATAACTGCAAAATATCCAAATGAACTTTTCAATGTTATAATTAAATCACATTCTGCCAACAAATGAAATTCGATAATTGCTTTTCCTAATGACTCACAACTCGAATAATTCGAATATTGGGCGATATGTGTAATTGGACTGATGATTTGTACAAGATAATGTGCAGGAAGCATCCGTTGAACTAATTGTTGTACATCCTGAGAATCTGTTGTGACCAAGATTTTAGTATTAGATGACTGTTTTGATTTTAAAAATTCGAGAACTTTTGTAATTGGTTTTTCGTAATATGGAAATACAGCATGATTTGGAAAAGTCAGATTTCGATCAGTACGAATTTGTGCACATAGGAGACCAGATGAGCGATGTGTATAAACATCCAATTGAGATTGAAGTTTCGGTTTCAGTCGAATTAATAGATCATAAAATAACGGATACAATGTTTCTGTGTTAATATATTCTTGATGCAAATTAAATCTTGTTTGTAGCGAACGATATAAATCCGGTTCATTAGAGATCAAATCAAAGTTATCCATATTTATCGTTTGAATATATAAAATGTCGTATTGTTCGTTGAATGTTTTTAGTTGAGAATAATCTTTCGATGTAAGAGAAGTTATATAAATTGACGAATAATTTTTGAATGACATCGTATCAATTTCCCATTGAATAAAGTTTGACGTTACGAAATGTTCTATTGAGCAAGGACAGGCCATTTGAATTATAAACGTGCGATTAAGTGCCAGTGATAGAAGAAATGAAGCAACGATTTTACGCGTTCTATCACTCCAATCTACATATAATAAATTTCTTTAAAATTACAGTGTATAATAAAATATGATGCATTTACTCACCGTCATACATAGACATACACGAGTGGACTAGATACTTTCTAGCTATATTGGCACGTGTCCACTGAATAATTGCTGATATATCGATGTTATATGGCGTTTGAGTATACCGATATATAGTAGGATATTGTTTAAGTTGTTTCTCTAATAAACGATCATGCGGTTGTTTTGTTGTGGTAGGTGAGCAAGAACGCTGATATTTTGCCAACAGATTCGGTAGAATGGCTTGTCGTCTATCATTCACATTTGAACAATCAACATCGTTGATGTAGCTGTTGTTATTTAACATCAGTTGACGTTTATGATAATATAGTACAAAAAAGCATAACATAATAAATATCAGTAAAATGAATGTTTTTTTACGTCGACGACGGGGTAAAAGTGAACAATTCATATTATATGCAAACAATATTACTTTTATTTAACGAATAAAAGACTCTTGTCTTGTACTAATCATAGTAGATCGCTTATGTATATAGAGAACAATTTTGTAACATATTTTCAGATGAAACTACATATAAGAAGGAAAAACGATGAAACTTTGCTGACATATCGTTAACCTAATGTGTAGACTATTTTTTCTTTCTTTCCCTCTATATTGAGATCATAGTAAATATACGTATTATTGTTGCTGTTAACAGTACTTAAAAACAAAGTAACATCATCATAACCAACCATACAGAAAAAATAAAGAAGAGAACAGTTATTCTTGTTCTGACCACACAAGCCATCATTGTTGTCTGCGCAGGAACAAATGTGTATACTCATTTATTGTTTGCTCTACACAATGATACTGAGTCCACAAAAATGTCCACAAAAATTCTGTTTGTGTATTTTGACAAATTTCATATTAAGACAGTTTACAAATAGCATAAAAGACTCAAACACACACCTCAGACAAGATATCGTCATACATTAGAAAATACTGACTTCCTTCAATGTTTAACTAGAGTTAGTGGCAGTGTTAAAAATTGGATATACTTGGAAAAAATAATTGGAAATACCGAGTTTCGAGTAGTATTTGCTATGTTGCGTCATAAAAATAGCTTTCGTAGTTTTTTTTTGAGCTGATTTTGATTTGAACCATAAACGTATGATATTCCATATGAGAAAAAGCATGGAGAACCTGCTTTTAGAGAAAAATCAATATTTTGATTTTCCTGAGAGGGACCAACGACAGTTTTGCGATCAAAAATCGAAGCTTTAGAAATTAGATCAGATACATCTTGTTTGACTTCATTTTCTACATAAATAGATTTTCGGTGAAAGCGAAAACACTCTGAGAGCTTCTACAAAGAGGACATCAAATTTACCTTAACTATATACGAATTGCTTTTCCTTTTGGGCTGAAACATCATCACACTGTATCAAGGACGTCACATTTATTGTACAAACAAAAACTGCAGGTCATAAACAGTGCTGAGAAGGTCAATATTTTGATTGAATCAGAGTATACGATGATCCAACTCCAACCACGGGTAACCTGTAAATTGGGAGCCGGTAAGTTGAGCATGGACGTTTTCAGCACAGCAACCTCAGCACGTGAAAACTGAGCACAAGGAATGATCAGCATGATGATTGTCCAGCACAGAAATTGTCAGCAATAAGAACAATCGGTTTACGCCCGATTCGTCCCAGACCAAAGAGAAACAGATTTCTCGTTTCTCCTGTGAGCATTCATTTCAACAGGCAGCTCATGATATTAGTTTAAATGTGCTGATCGATCATGTACCGTTTATCTTCTCCTGTACCCGTGTGGTTGACTCAAGGACGATCATGGTACGCGAGGCTGGTGTTGGGTGAACAGTCATTCTGCCGTTCACCGATGTAGTATGTGAGCCAAAGCCAAAGCAAAGGGAAAATAGGTTGAATAAGTTACTGGCAACACTGATAGATGATGATAATTTTCTGAAACGAACCAAACAAGAAACCTTCAGGTGCAGAAAGATTAAATGATCAATGATAAAGATGTCGAGCCCCAGTAGAGGGCGAAACAGCCGACGGAGGTCGCTAGTTTCAATATCTCAGCTTTTCAGGCTTGACCGAATTGCAGTGAAATGGGAAAATATAACTGAATCCGTATCTAGAAAAAAATCTATTACTTACTTTTCGATGAAGATCCCATCGATGGAATTGAACCAGATAACGGTCAGTAGGAAGAAACTAAATCTGCTCTCACGAAATTGAAATAAAGCATAAGATTGATTGGTCAGGATGGAAAATACCTGCGACAGATCCCAAAAATTACCGGAATCATTAGCAATACTTCACTCGAAATCAACCTTAAATAAAACTCAGTGCTCAGTCCCGTTAGTTGTATACTCAGAAGGACTGCAATTATCAAGGCCGGCGGTAAAGCTGAAACAGTGACCAAATGTTTGACCACACAGCGGGGACATGCAGTAATATGAACTCGTATTACTGTTCTCATCTTAATGATAGAGGTGTTAGTCGTATTCTCTATTGGATGATTCGGCTACAAATAGTAAAATTTACTTTTCCTTGTATCTCTCTTTCTGATCGTTTACATTTACATTTATAAAATTTGTTTTGAAAATGACAGTATAACTGTCGAAACGTTGACAAATAAACATCAAAATGTTAAACAAACAAAAATTTAAAGCTGCTATTATCTCAACCAAATATGTGCTTTTAGAAAAAGTTTTAAAAGTTTCTACCGAAAAGCCAGTTTTACGAAAATTAGGGTTTTCGGGCTGTTTTCACCTAATATTAAAAAATTTACTATTCACTCAAAAAACATCAGAACAAGCTCAAAACTTCAGAATGTAGAATATTTAAACTATTCTATATCCTGTTTGTAGAAGATCTCGAAATAAATTTAAAAAACCCTAAGTTTCCAAAAGGGTTTCTGGAAAACCTATTAACAAAACTATGCTTTTAGATTTTTTCAATCTTATAACCATGTTTAGTGGACACCATTAATCGTATCCTGAGATTTTGAGCTTGTTCTGATGTTTCGTGAGTGAAAAGTGAATTTTTTAATATAAGGTGAAAACAGTCTGAAAACCCTAATTTTCGTAAAACTGGCTTTTCGGTAGATTTTTAAAACTTTTTCTAAAAATAAATATTACTACGAGACTCAACATGGTCGATTATCCATAGTCCATCCGTCTTTAAGGCTATCAAGAGTCACCGAGTGCCAGTCCTGGAACTCGTCGGAAATCCGATACAACGCCCGAACCGCAGAAAATCAAGGTCTCACGTTACTCCCATTTTGAAAAGTACATCCCGGGCTATCAGCCCATGAGAAAAAATCATTATATTACTATGTGAATTTCGGAAAACCCAAGCTAGTTTTCCAAAAATCCTCTAAAAAATCCAGCTTCAGAAAATTCGCTTTTGCTTACAGAAATATGTGGCCAGGTGTCTAGTTTCAAAACTGAAAATCACAGGTCGCTATCTCATCTCTATCAAAAGATATTTATAAAACAACCACTAGCACCAGTTATTATTATAATAAAATTAAGAAGCGATTGGTTAGATAATCTAGCATGGTCATGAAAGTCCATAACATGCAAAAAGAGATTTTTTTTCTGACCATTCATTCGATTCTTCGTTCAAGGCTAAATCTACGTTTTAGATCATAGAAACATTTCTGTCTCGAGTTATAAATTTTAAAAAATAAAATCAGAACTTTCTACAACAAAACAGAAGCCTGTATTCTTATCTGCCTTAATCTTAATGTATCTGTATTATGTCACATTTCATAAGTCTTTCTTCCCGATGTATTTCTCCATACGATAAATGTATGGACTTTTATAACCTATGAGAAGAAAACTATTTATGTGGTCTGTACGCTGTCGATATAAAGTTAATGTTTGGCGTTATCTCTTCGAAAATCATAAAATAATCAATGCAGCAGACTTTGTTGACCTATTTCAATTAATGGTCGTACAAATATTTGACACATGTTTAGAAACTAATGGCACCAAATCGAGCTGTTCATTCCACAAAACTCCTGTTATAGGTTTTTATCTAGTACAATAGATGTTAGTCGGTTTGCGGAAATGTGCCGAAGGAAAAGAGGTAACGTAGAACGCATTGAAACTGCACAGAAAATGCTGAATTAATTACACGCATTTTCCCAGATTTGCCATCACTTACGATTTATTTGAAAAATCAGTAAAAATACATTGCGTTGATAGAAATTGTTGGACAAAACAATGATCACATTCTGTGCCTAAAAACTATTTAAAATTCATCACAATAAATAACAACGACCCCTAGTAATGTTCAACGTATATCAAATTTCCACAAATGTATCAGAGAGGGACAATCTTATGAACAGGTACAAACGAAACAGTATCGAAGACTACTTGAAAGATTCTCACTGAAAGATGCAGGAATGTGAAATTATCAATTTATATTGGAAAAAAATGGTATCTATATTACAAAAAATGTCCTCAATACAACAGTATACGTCTAGTGTCTATTTGAACTATGATGGAATGGCATTCTACTAATTTTGTATATAACTTCGTTAATCAATCCCTTTGTCACTGTATTGTTATATGACACTGTTCAGTTCTCTTCATTGTTCTCATTTGAACCGTGGTTAATCACCGTTACTGCTGTTGTTTTCTACAGAAAATTAAGTTGAAAAAATGTTTCCGAAACATATTTGACGATAAAAAATATATATAGAAACTTGTACAATAATAGGAATACGACAATAGTTCGATGAGATGAAATATCAAATTTTCCCATGCGACTCTTTCGTCAGATTTGATGATGGGATCATAATTCGTGGTTATCAACAAGTATATTAATCTTATAGTGAACGGTATAAACGAGATAAATGAAATAAGACATTGAAGTAACAACATTGATGTCAGCTGTTGATCAATGTGTTGGATACGTGTGAGATGAGGATGAGTTTGTTCAGAAGGAGCTATCTGTCTTCTAGCAATATATTTTATGTTTCGAAGAATTAGAATACCAATGACTAAAGTAGAAAGTGGTGGCAGTATTCCGCTGAATATCATCTCGAAATATGTTTCAAATTGAGAGTACGTGCCAGTGGGCGATATACAGCTGGATGCCGATGTTATGTAGTACATGAATAAACGGTGAGTACTCAGCAATGCCCAGAATGTGGCAGTACAGAGTGTCAATCGAATAACATTGGTCATCTTTGTCCCTTGACCGAAACGATGACGTTGTCTGGCATCGCGAGATGTTGAAAAATATCGATCGAGAGAAGCTAACGTGAATAAGGTCATTGAAGTAGTCGCCGATGTTTGAGCAATATAATTGCGAAATTTACACATGGCGAGAAACTTTGACATGAGATTGATGGAAAAGCCATACTCAAGAATACGTGTGAGAAGAACAATATTAATCATGAATAAATCGGAGATGGTAGCGGCAAATAGATAGATTGAACATGATGATTTACGAAATGATTTTAGACGAAATATAATCAAATTGAAAATACCTCCAAATTGGCCAATAGTAAACAGAAATATGCCGATGTAGATATTCACTTGTTGGGAACAAAAATGCAGCACAGAAGTCGTCGACATGATGAAAATAAAACTCTGTGAGAATTTCTGCTCACGTCTACAACTTAGTGTCTGTTATAATTACAGTATTGCTTTTTATACCTTTAAGTACATAATTTATACTTTGTTTTAACATTTTACTGTAAATTTACTTATAGTAATAGGTATGAAATGCATTACTGTAATTATAATCGACAGTAAGTTATAGAAGTGGGAAGAAATTCTCGCAGAGTTTTATTTTCACCATATCAACGATTTTTATGCTGAACTTTTCTTCTCCACCGACATGTGGATATCTAGTTTACAAAATGAACATTATCGCCAGATTTAGAACGACCGGAAAGTCGCGCGGTCGGATAACTCTGCTACCGAAGTGAAAGTGGAACGCCTAGAATTGTAAAAAAACGTGACTATACAAAACGACGTGTTTCAATGTTCGGTACGTTTTTTTGTTTAAAAACTAGAAGGCTAATATAAAACTCCCTTCTCAAAGTTCATTTTGGAAAAGTAGCATTTAGTATTTACCACTTATCGTTTGAACAAAGAAACGTATAGAGCTCCGAGATGTCTCATTTTGTACAGAAACGTTTGCTTTACAGTTCCAGACGTTCCACAGCACTGCACGTGCTTCCGTTCAAAAAATATAGACATAACAAAATGTCAAAATTTCGGCACGGAATTTCACTCTGGTAGCAGAGTTATCTGCCCGTGCCGAAAGCTTTATGTCTGCTCGTGAGCTTAGTATAGGCCGTTAATGAATGATTGCCTGGCTATACGTCATGGTTGACTCGGTGTAATTTGGAAATGAATTTAATTCATTGCTTAACAGAGACATGCAATTAAGGGGAAAATACGTTTTGATCACCAAATTTCTTTCTATCGAAATGATCATCAAAAAACAACACTTTTGATCATCAAATCAATTAAAGAAAATATATATCAGAAGAATATCTAGCAATTAATAATATCTAAAAACTATAAAAAGTTCTCATCATTCTGTACGTTCGACGTCATATGAAACCTTATCATTGAAGAGAAAAGTGAAAAGGAAAAAATGCTATGTACTCCGAACTGTTATTGATGTCAATTAATGTATGTAGCTTTTTATATAATGTCCCGTTGGTCTTAAACAATATACATGCAAACACTCCGTTGGATTAACCATTCTATTGAGCATGTATCAAGTTAGTAAAAGATAAAGGTCGATCAGAAAAAGGTTTTTATTTTTATTTTTCTATTTGTAAATAATCACATATGTAAATAACGTATATTTGTAATAAAAACTAATTATTGTAATCATTATTGTAGTTACACTAATAGAACACAAAGACTAAAGAACACACCATTAAAAAGTTTCTGGAAAGTTACACAGGAGATCTATAGCGCTTTTTTCTACCATAGGAACAGAATCGCGTAAAGTATTTTCATTACACCAACTAATACACCTTTTGAAGACCGAGTTATGAGAAACAAACCGTTTTGACCGGTGTAAACCTCTTATTGGACATTCTTTATCAAGCCACGAAGATCTGAAAGTATTCAGACAAGCTTGTTCTATAAGAAGAACTCCATCCTCAGCTTTTGAAAGGGCCAACAAATATTTATCCCAGTATTTTACGTAGCGTATTTTCCGTGTTTTGTTGCTTGTGGATATTTTCTGTTCTTTTATTCTTGTATGGCGATAAATAATGTACGTTTTCGTGTGTTATTCTTGTTTTGTCCAACATACTTTATGTAACAGCAGTATAGCTATTATCTCTATTTAATCGATGTAAAAACAAGAGAAAGATAACAACGCGTCAACAGACATTTCTATGTGACGAAGAGTACGACATTGGAGGTGGAGAGGGGAAGAGAAGAAACCTTTAGACAATGTGATTGTTCATTCATCTTTGTAAAATATTTATTTTGTTTCTATAACTTGAAATCAGATTTCACTAGAGATAAGTGGAATCGGCATATGAATGCGTCTCAGTTATCTCTAGAAAAAACTTGGATTCCAGTTTTGTCTAGCGAAATCTAGAATTTCACCAAATTCCAGTTTTCGCTACAACATATATATTTGTATACGTAATATTTCTTCATGTTCAGTTGTATATTAATAAATTAAACTTTCTTTATATTTTTTTTCTTATCTGTCAGCTCATTAATTAGTAATCATTGCTAATTAATTGCTATATATTCTTCTGATATATATTATCTTTAATTTAAATTTTCTTTAATTGATTTGGTGATTATTTAGAACGAAATTTGGTGATCAAAAAAATGTATACCCTGCAATCAAACTCATACTGTTCAATTCCTAATTAATCAAGATCTAATTTATTTTGACTGTTGATTCAACTGGCAAGGTGTCGATTGTGGTAACTGCTAACACAAGTCAAACACATATAACTCACATACGATGTTTGAATACTGACTGCGCACAATCCAACCAACAACAGTTATAAATACCACCGTTCAGGGTAAAACGGATCAGCGGTAGACGCGTACAAATTGTTATTGACCCACAAACAACATCTTCCGGTTTATATGTTTATTGTTTGTCAAGATGAAGATTGCGACGACAAACCTGGGATTTCACAGAGTCCCGACACAAATATCCGTGATCTACATGGGTAGTACTTCAAACCCTGACAGTTTTGTTGAAGACCAATGCGATTTGATCGAGAAAATTAAGATTAAAGTTGAACTGAATACACATGTATGCTTTTTAATAGTTTTTCACCTATAATTTTATTTTAAATAAAAGTAAGTTTTTATAGTCAACTTGTCACATTGATTACGGTTTCAAGGTCTATTTCACTACTCTAGACACGGAAGACTGTATAGGCCATAGTTGATTAGTAGTGCGAAACAGCATGTGTAAGGAAATTTTCCTTATATTTATATATATGTGTGTGTATGTTAAAATTCATTTTCACAAATGCTTGCATATTTATTTAGAAAAACAAATAAAAAAAAGCGTACTGAAAAGCATTATCTCAATTGCTAAGTAATTTTCTATTATTACTGTCATTAATTATAGTTCAAGCTTCTTCATACATTTTTTGTATATCATTTAATTGTGGTATAGTTATTGGTATTGTTCTTCGAGCAGCTTTTGGTTGTGAATTTAATTTACAAATTATTTTTCCACTTATGATTAATGTCAAGTGATTTTTTCATTTTGATGGATAAAAGTTAGTGTTGGTCCAGGTGATTGATAGAATGTTGCTTCGCTATTAACCTACTAGTAATGGATCAATACTAGCAACACTTGCTAAACACCATTTGTTATCTTCTTCTACTATCAAATATACTTGCTTAAAAAGCATGTTATTGTTGTTAGTGTTTTTGAACCCAATAAATTAAATTTTTTTGGTGTTAGCGCATTTGATGTTATCTTACAACCTAATTCCCCGACTCATAATGGTACAAAATGATGAGGTTGTCATAAACCAGTGATGGTTCTAGTGATTTTCTTCCATCTACTTCTTAAGACTTTCTCATAATTATCCCTAATTGTTGAGGCATCAAGACTCCAGATCTAAATGTGCAAAGCTGATTGTTTCAGAACGAGAAGTTAAAAAAGCTTTACGAATTTTACTTCACACGATTGACTTTGTTAACCACTTGCAGTAATAACTGCAGTCGATGATGGTTTAGAATGTCCAAGTTTCTGTTTACAAAACTAAGAGTATTCTTTAACATCAACAAAAGAAGCTTGAGGACCATCAGATAATAATAAATGACGTGTGGCTTCCGATTTAATAACAGCGCCGATGCCATCACAGACACGTCTACCATGCGAGGTTCCTGTAAAGGTCCAGCAAGCCTTTAAACCAAAATCTTGTTGATGTCATGTTAAATCCAACATAGAATTATGATTCCTAAAGTACGAAGCACATCCATCCAAAACGTAATTAACGATATTAATTTTCTCATAAAATTCTTTACTAATATAATCTGTTATTAAACGTTGACCTTGATGAACAAATGCAGTGTCGTGCATTGTTTTACTATTGAAGCATATGTTATGGGACTTGCAATGTCTCATTCTCACTCAACTAGACTATCCAGATATTCAAGGGTTTATTGATTATTATCATAATACATATGGACCATTCAGTCGATTTTCACCACATATGTATAACCATTATCATAATATAACATCGCGAACAATTAATTATTTGGAAGGTCTACATTATCGAATGTATTCTCGAGAAAATATTTAAATTGTTCCACCCAAACCTTTATATTGCTATTGATTTATTACAAGAGGAACAATCACTAGCATCGATTGCAAGAGTACGAGATGATATGCGAGCACCAGCTCCAAAACGTCAAAAAAATAAAGTTATAAGAGATAAATGTCTGATAAAATTATGGCAACGTTATGATGACAGTCGTATTGACATTACAGCGTTCTTGAAAGCTGTCGGTATGATATATTGTCAAAATGTTAAATAACCATCTTTTTTCGTTTTTGCTGTTATTTGTACTTATTATTTTGATAATTTTTTTCTAATAATACATTGGCCGTTGCAATGAATATTCATTTGCTCATTCATTGCTTTTAGTCTAAATATTCAGTGAAACGTAAATCCCATGTAACCAACAGAAAGTAAATCTTGTGTAGCAAAAATTATACTTTTCTATGAAGAAAAACTAATTAAAATAGAAATTAATCAACGGAAGGTAAATCCGCGGACAGTAAATCGTGTATCCGGTTCAATATCTCTCTCTCACTCTTGATATTACCATCACTCTCCATTTGCCTTCTCTATTATATATATTCTTTTTACAGCACTTACACTGGAGTTTATTGTATAGTAAACTCAGTAAAGGATGGAATTCTTTTACACTATATTTTCGAGTATCCATTATTTGGTGTTTTTAAACATATTATATTTTCGTATCGTTCGCGACCAGTGGGTCATGGGTGGTGACCCATTCACTTGTAAGCACTTTTTGGAAAATTCGTACGTCATAAAAAAAGCCCCTTCTGTTTTGTTTGGAAAGTCAACACTCTACTAAACATTAATTCACAATAACATGTTTCTGAAACGTTCCTGCACAAAAAATAAAAACTGATTATGAAACCGATCTACGTCATTCACTCCATTTACAACCATATTTTGCGGATATGTAGAACATATTGCTCTGAGAAAAAGACTAAAAGGATTTGGGCCCATTTCGCTTCCTTCAAGAGTTCTTGAATTTTTTTCTTTCAACGAAGAGGGCGATCCCTAACATTTAATCTTTTATAACTCAGTCAAAACAGCAAGTTAAAAGTTCAATTCTTTTTTTCATCACAGTCTAGTCATTTACTAATAATTCTCAAAGGTTTAGACCTTTAGCTGTTTTACTAAATGAATAATCGAATTTTACGTTTTTGCCTAAGCGATTCGTCTTTTCTCATTTTTATTTCTTGATCTAACGTTCATTTTTACGCAGTCAGAAATATTAATATTAATATTAATGAGCGAAAGAATATAGTTAAACTAAATTCCCTTATGCATAACCCACTTTGTTCGAAAATATTTAAGTCTAGGATCTGATATGCCTGGTTTGCTTCTGGATATCTTAAAACGGATCCGATCTATCCCAAAATGTAAAAGAAATATGTTTCTCGTTTACGAATGATCACTGCGAAGTAAATGACTGCGACGAGTCTGTAATTATAAAATGAGAAAATATATCAATATGTCAGAGTCTACTGTAGATGTATACTATTGCGCAGTATTTTTGACTGCGTAAAATAAACGTTAGATGAAGAAATAAAAACGAGAAAAGACGAATCGCTTAAGCAAAACAGGTAAAAATTTGATTATTCATGTAGTATAACAGCTAAAGGTCTGAATCTTTGAGAATCATTAGTAGATGACTAGGCTGTGATGAAAAAAGGGATTGAACTTTTAACTCACTGTTTGGACTAGGCATGCAGCGGTTATCTTATCGGGACTCTCGGGAGTATTAGTTTTAAAAATCGGGGAAACTTCTCAAAAGTTTTTCGAGTCGACAGTTTTGTGCACAAATGCCTGCTCTATCAAATAAAACGTCGCAGGCTTTCTCACGGTGGTTCGTAGATGCGATAGAAAGCTTTTGGTTGAAAAACGAACCGGTTATTAACCAGCGGTTAACGGCCGGTTATAACCGGTCCTATTTTAGAGAAAAAAAACTTACATCTCATCTACGAACCATCGTGAGAAAGCCTGCGACGTTTTATTTGGTAGAGCAAACATTTGTGCACAAAACTGTCGACTCGAAAACATTTTGAGAAGTTTCCCCGATTTTTAAAACTAATACTTCCGAGAGTCCCGATAAAATAACCTAGTTTTGACTGAGCATAAAAGGTTTTAATCTCTTCCTCTGCATTTAAAAATGTTAAGGATTGTCCTCCTCGTCAAAACAAAAAATTCAATAACTCTTGAAGGAAGCAAGATGGATCCAGTCCTTTTTAGTCTTTTTCTCACGGCAACATGCTCTACATATCAGTAAAATATGATTGAAAACAGGGTGGATCATGTAGGACGATTCACTTGTGAGAAAAAATTTCTTTCAACTACTGAAGTTTTTTGAGAATTTTCCATTTTCTAATTCAAATGTCTTCACGAAAAAGTGATAATAAAGAAAATCTTTTTTTATCAATCGATAGCTTATAGAATTATTTTGCTCTCAAAAGCAATCTACGTTTTATCACATACTTCATTATTTTTTTATAACAAATGGGTCATGAGTGACCCCATGGTAGCTAAAGGGTTAAGAAAGCCACAGGGTATTTATTTCAAGGGAGAAATGACCTCCCAAAAGAGTGCACACACTTATAAGTGACAGTCACCTTAAGTGTCTCGTTTATTGTCCTGTTTGAACAGGATTTGAGCAGTAGTGATGGTAAAGTCGAGTTTTGCCACTTGGTTCACCAATAGACATTCGCCATATTGGCGATTGGTGAATGTCGCCGAGACATTCGTCAATACTGATACTCCTTTCACCAATACTCCTAAAATAATGACGAATGTCCACACGACATTCCTTATAATTGGCCGATCCTCAGTATTCATTTGATAATCCGCATTGAATGTAAGATAAATAAGAGACTATTACTTCGCGCTCGGACTAATTTCTTCTCTCGCCTCCTCCCTTTATTAAACAACCTTTGATTTGTGCTTAATTTTTCACACTGCCCATTATGTGGCTGTTTTCTCTAAAATGATTTTGCTACGATTGCTCTTTCATAAGTGTGTATATGAGCATGCTTTTCTTTTCCTCAAAATAATATCAGAACCCTTTTGCCAGTCATTCGTAGTGATTGCTAATTTTTTCGCCTTATAATAAGAAAAAGTAACAGATTTCTCTTTTTGCTCAAAAGTTGCGTGGTATTAAATGTTTATGTTGCTTTATAAAAAGAAGTCCAAAGGTGTATGAGATCTCTTTTCTCGTACATATTTTAATGCACATGCATGTGTTAGGGTTATTAGGCCGGCAGCTAATGCCTAACTAATATTCTTCCTTGATAATTGCCCTTATTCAACTTTAAACGTTCAATTTTGTTTCAACTATTTTATTTTTCTCAAGTAAAATTATCACAATTATGTATAAAAAGAAGAGAGAGAAAACAGAGGAAAGAATAAGATAGAGACGTTACTCGATGACGTTACTTCAAGTGAGTAGTATACATAACTGAACCAAAGATTAGTAATAGAGAAAGACTATGATAAACCGGTCGCCTGTCTACCCATAGCAACATAACAACAGTAAAAAGAAAGAAAAGTAAGCGTTGTCTTGTCACTAAACCGGCCGATCTGTACTGAAAGAAATAGGTCTAGAAATATTTTTTGGTTTTTTATTGACATTTGCAGCTGCTTTCTAACTTTGTTCATTAAAATGATGAAAACAAACAGACTCGTATCACGCGGAACAGCCGTAGTCCATACATTTAATATTTTGGAACATATAGGTAGGACTGTAAAAGTTCCCGTTGCGTTGATTTAACGCTAACTGACAACACAGTTACCGTTAAAACAACGGTAACTGTCTTTTCAGCTACCGTTGTCGATAACGGCCGAAAACGTAAAAGGAACTTTTACAGTCCTACGCACGAGAACACCTTTCTTGCTCCAAAACTTCTTCCACTAAAGAACGTGCAACACGACGCAAGATTTCTGAAGTAAAGGAATAACATTTTTTGCCTTTCTCGAGATCACAGTCTTGAGAAGAGACAGGAAAAACCTTACGCACAATTGTCTCATTTGCTAGCTTTTTACTGGAAGAAGTTTTGTTGTCGTTAACCATACTTTATAGTGAGGCTTGTGGCACTATTAGGTATATCAGGTCTAAAACACGAAAATCAGAAAACCAGAATACCTTAGAAGAAAAAAGAGCAGAAACGAAGCAGTAAAATTCCAAAAATCAGAAGTTTTCTGCCAAAATCAGACGATCTGGTATACCTGCGCATCACGTTCTGTTTTTGATTAGAGAGCCGATTGAGATTCACTAACATATTTTTCTTTTCTACCTTATCTTCCCTTTGTATGATTTTTTTCCACATTTTATTTCTTTTAGTTCTATATGAAGAAAATTATAAGACGCGTCCTAACTGTGTTCGTTTTTCTATATAATCCTAATTTTTGTCAATGAAATAAAGAAAATATTTATTTGCAGATGATGACTAACAAAAGAATTATTTATCATATCAAAATGAAAATTAAATCAATTGAATTAATTTAAAATATTTTCGATAGATTTAAAACATTTCAACTAAATCATCTAAAGATCCACTACGACATACAATATACTACTGACAGAGGGACTATAAAAAAATGAAATATAAAGAGAGCACCATAGCACACCATTATCTTTGGCGTTGATAAAAGAAAGACACTTTTTGAGCACAATAAAGGAAAAAACAAAACAGAACAGTATCATATCTATTCTGATTTACCAAAACGTTCAAACATGCGTCTAATTTCCGGATATTTTTCTGCTTCTTCATACGGTGTAGAGCCATAGTTATTAAGCAAATTTCTTGCTGCACCGACATCTAGCAGTAGACGAACAATTTGTGCATGTCCGTTAAAACTAGCCACATGTAATGCCGTACTACCATGTGGTTCTATTCTGTTAATATCGTCTATCGTATAAGTTTTTAAAATACGAGTTACTTTCTGTAAATCACCTTCTTTACAAGCTAAATAAAATTGACTAAGTGGTTTGTCATGTTTAGACGATGATGCTGATTGTGCTGTGCTCTGGCCATTGTTATTGGTAAGCATTATCTAAAACTAAAAGAATATCTAACAGATTCAGGCTTCTATTCTTATCTTTAAGAACAAGTGAGATCCAACAAACTTACCTTATACACATCCTTTCGCCTATTTTGATCATTATTTACTTGCAGTGTCATTATGACGTTATCTGTTCCGTTTTCTGCATGCAGCAGCCATAGTCGGCTACGTTACCATGGATAGGTCATTATATTATACAATTTTTAATGTAGTTTGTTTTTTAACGTTCGACCTCTACAAAACAAAAACAAATTTAATCTTACAAAACAGACAACAATAACTTACTCCTATTAGCAAAAAGATATTCATAAAAGATTATATTAAAGAAAAAGTATTGCATGTTATTATGAGAAATATACGCGGTTATAAAAGTAGGGTACACTTTAAAAAAGAAGCGTAATTTAAAAAACATTAAAAGGTTAAGGATAATGAAACCATACAAAATCAATAAGGGTTTAGGAGTTTACATAAAAAAGCGTTTAGGAGAGGGTTTAGCAGCTCTTCAAAACCCCCATTCGTTTTGAATAGTTTCATTTTCCTAAACCCCTTATAAAGCGTTTAGGAGAGGTGTAGAAACGAGTAAAGTTACTAAACCTTCTCATACGAAACTATGCAGAATAATAAACAGTTCAGAAGGGTTACTAAGCCATACCTAAATTTATAATAGGTAATGCTGCTTGCAATTGGAAATGTATGTTGAAATGTTTCGCATATGATGTCTTTATTTTTCTTCGGTTTTAAAAGTCTTCTATAAGATTTTGAAAAAGTTCGAGATATTTGGATAAGCTCCAGAGATCGACCCAACTCAGCTAAAAAAGCTTTCGTATGTTCTGTTAATTAATCTAGTTCTATAGAATGCTGTCTTTTTTTCAACAGCGAAACCAAATAACGTAAAATAATCGCCGAAAAATACAGCGTAGACACACAAATAAGTTGGGATGGGAGAAAACCTAATATAATCTCTTTTTAAAACAAACGAGTTTATTAATGTCCATTTTCACAATAAGAACGAAATTCATTCTTTTTCTTTATTCTATATTTTTCGTTTAGTTTAGTTCAAACTTTATTCATTTAAGACAGAGAAATAAGAATTCTACACAGATGCGATCTTGGCCATTATATTAGAGGAAAATGACATATCAAATGATATAAGCGATTACGGATAAAACGTTTCTCTCCTTCATCTTAAAGTGTCTAGTAGATATACAAAAAAAACTGTTAGTCAGTTTCTTTTCGTTATGAGATCATTCTGACCTTCAGTGTGTCTCCTTCAGTGTGTTATCTTCGTCTCCTCTCTATTTTCATTCTCCACACAAAAACGTCTTTCCCTGCAGGGAATACAGGTAAAATCTTCTCCCCTGCAGGGAGTGACGGCAGGAAAATATTCTTCTTTATCTGCCGGCCGTTAGTGGAAATTTTTTTTATTCACCTGCAAACTGCAACCTGCCTGCACTGCAGTTTACCATGCAGGTGATCAGCTCTGTTCCATACTGACAACTATCGACCAGCAGTTAAATATTTACGTTGGCACATTTATCTATTTCACCGGGCTAAGCGGTAATATCATTAATGTATTCACTTTCTTTAAAAAACAATATCGTGTTAGCCCTTGTGCTTGGTATCTGGCAGCACAATCGTGCGTGAATTTACTGCTACTACAAGAGATCATTATCCTGCGGCTAATCCCTAACACGTGTCATACTGCCAGTACGTCGACGAAAACTTTTTCTTTAATAGTTATCATGGATGGTAATAAGTCACGGACTTGGTTTCGAAACTAACCTTGGTTTTGAATAAAAATGTTTCTGTCAAATAAAAGTCGAGAAATGTCAGGCCAATTTGTGGTAAAAGTCGGAAAAACATTGTATTTTCTTCAGTTACATTGACAGGACAACACTAAAGACTTCCAGTACGCGGCAACGAATAGCGCCATTTCAACCGCGCAATGTTGGTAATCGGCGTACAGAAGCACAATTAACATCGATGCTGCTAATGCAAACCCTCTTTGTCGTTCTGTCTGTGCTCCCGTTTTCCATACAAACTGTTTATGCGGCGATAGTAGCAACAGTACCCACAACAGCCGAGCGTACTGCGGGGGAAAGCTTTTTTCGGGATTTGACTTTTCTGTTGTGGTATGTTACATCGGCATCACCATTTTATGTTTATATCTTCGCATCGTGCGCATTTCGAAAACAAGTGAAAAAATACTTAGTGGGTCTCCTGCAACAGCAACAATCGGCAACTGAGCGTGGACTGAATTCACTTTCGTAGATAATAAGAGAAACTCATTCATGCTTTTAATCGTATCATGCGAACTAATCATACAACTTATTTATTTAGCAGTGGCGGCATCCAAAACAGGCGAGCGTCCGACGTTCCAAAGCTTATCTATCATACCTCTTCATAGACAAAGAAATTAAGAAACGTCCTGGTCCCCGTCCTGATGGGTCGAAAAACGAGTTGAAAAGAGTATCGGTTGTATAACTGATAATTTATAAGTGTAACTAATACGTCACACATGTCACCAGTTTTTTCCAAAAACGTTTCTTCGCTAGTAGATTTCCCAAACAGACGAAAGCGTGGACGCAAACACTGATCTTTCCTATACTAAAAGAATATTCTGTTCATGAATTTTACTTGTTATCAGGACATTCACACACTTCGTGTTGGAAGATAACGGAAAAAACCATTTTGATCTTATTATGACTTTTCGAAGGCCTCCGAACATCACGCTACTTGAAATTTCCAACTTGCACAAAAAAGTCTTTAACCATTTCAAATCATTTTTGTTGTTCACGTCATGAAAATGAGGTCGTTTTTTGGGACTACTACACGTCTCATGTAATGCGTTCAGAAAAATTTTCAAAATTTCCGAGAGCACTGATTTTTATATCCTCCCTTCTAAATGGATTTTATTTCTGTACAATATATTGTCAAATTAAGTGAAAAGTTTGACAGTTATTTTAGAAATGTGACAACTAATTTGGCATATGTAGCCGTATCAATAATTGGAGTTATCTGTAATATCTGATGTACATTTTGGCTTACGCTCCAGGCGGGTGTTCCATAAAAAGTCATAAGTGCTGGACTTAAGTCTTCGTTTTTTCTTAACTAAGAGTAGACTTAATTTTGAGTGTTCCACAAAAAATTCTTAAGAGACGGTTCGCCAGCCCATCAAGAAATCAAGTCAAGAGTGAAAAATCGACATATACTTTTTATTTCATATTCGGATTCTACTATCAAAACTGGGGTTATGATAAATATGAACAAGCTTTCTGACTTATTCTGACTGAGTTATAGAATTTACAAAATGAGCACTATCGTCGATTT